ATTTTTTTAAAAATTTTTTTTGACACGTGTTGTCCTCTCATAAATGAGGTGGACTGTTATTTATTGGCCCGGTTTGGCCCCCCCCCTGTTTCTTACTTTGTTACTTGTTGAAACGGTCAGGGTTGGCCCCACTGTTTGGTTGTCTTGTTAAGATTTTTCTGAAATGTACACATTCCCTTTGATTTGTCGATTTTCCCAATCACAAGTTAGCTCGCATCAAATTTTTTTTTTTTTTTTTGGTCAAAACCCATTTTTTAAATGTCAATTTGTAGGATACGCCGCGTAAAGGGCCCTACTTTTTTGTCACTGTGTAGACTTATTTAGGCCATGTTTTGGCCAAAAATATATTTATTTAAAAACCTACCGTTCAAGCCGCTCACTGAACCCCTGGGGGAATTTGTTTTGTAAAACCCAGGGGCCGCTGCCCGGCGCATATTTTTTGCCCACTGTTGACATCAAAATTTATAGGCCGTGTTTCCACAAAAAAAATTTATAAAAAAACCCTAGCCTTCAGGCCGCTCCCTGAAACCTCGGAATTGTTGTAATATGGCATCCAGTTGCTGTAGCCCCCATCACCACACTGTGCCACGGGCCCCTGTACCGCCTTCTCATACTACTGCCAGATCCATCCTCTGCCATGTGCGTCTTTGTCGTCTGCTCTCACGCTGCTGGGTTCCAGTTTTTTAAACCTAGGCCTGTGTATGGCTTCCGAATACTGCTGCCTCCACCGCCACCCTGCGCCATGTGCCTCTGTCGTCTGCTCACGCTGCTGACGGCTTCCGCTTTTTAACCTAGGCCTGTGTATGGCTTCCCGAATACTGCTGCCTCCACCGCCACCCTGCGCCATGTGCCTCTGTCGTCTGCTCACGCTGCTGACGGCTTCCGCTTTTTAAACTAGTCCTGTGTATGTCTTCCGAATACTGCTGCCTCCACCGCCACCCTGCGCCATGTGCCACTTTCGGGTCTCCTCACACTGCTGCCAGGTCCATACTGATTCATGGCCCCCTGTACCGGCTCCTCATGAACGTGGTTCAGCGGGTTTGCATCACTTAACGGCAAATCGTTGACAAACGCTGGGACGTTCAGTGTTGTGCGCATTAAGCCAGACACCAAAGGGCAGCACAGACCTGTTATTACTCGCTCAAGCATGGCTGAACAAAACCAGTCTCTACCACAAATTGGACCCAGACCTGCCCAGGGTCTCGTAACTAGATTGCACGGAGGAGTAGAGTCCGTTATCGGAATTAAATAGACAAAACGCCACACCAAAAAAATGAGTGGCCATTTCCAACACTTATTCCAGAAAGAGGAACAACCCGTTTTCATATACGGCCCGTAGACGTTTCACGTCTGCCACATTCAGTCGATTTAAGACGCAAGCTCCACTTCCTGTGGTCTCTGACCGTCGATATACCTTTAAGTGTCAGCTTTGAAGCTATATTCCCTCCGGAGCACTGACACTGGTGCCCTTCCGTCAACATGCCTTTAAGTTTCAGTTTTCAACCATATTCCCCACAGAAGCCAAACTCTTGGGTATCCCAGAAGCTGCTCAGCGGGTCAGGGCAATAAAGCTCCCGGTTCGCAGGTTGTTCCGTCTTATGGATGGAAGTACGACGGTATATGATCTTCTTCGCACCCACGGCATTACCTCATAAAATTTCTGCATTGTATCTGCAATCACAACGCTGACTTCCCGGATCGCCACTCAGCCATTGGACTCTTGATAGTCGTCTCCCCACACTGCTGCTGGGGGGACTTTTTAACCTAGGCCTGTGTGTATGGCCTTCAATTGAAGCTGCTTCCGCTCCGCCACTCTGCCATTGGATTCTTGATAGTCGTCTCCCCACGCTGCTGCTTGGGGGACTTTTTAACCTAGGCCTGTGTATGGCCTTCAATTGAAGCTGCTTCTGCTCCGCCACTCTGCCATTGGACTCTTGATAGTCGTCTCCCCACACTGCTGCTGGGGGGACTTTTTAACATAGGCCTCTGTATGGCCTTCAATTTAAGCTGCTTACGCTTCGCCACTCTGCCATGGGCCCCTGTACCGCCTCCTCTTGCTGCTGCCAGGTCTAGAGTGTGTCATGGGTCCCTGTACGGCCTCCCATTGCTGCTGACTTCATCGCCAGACTCTGCCATGTGCCACTTTCAGGTCTCCTTACACTGTTGGTGGGTTCCATTTTGTGATAGGGTGCTGTATGGCCTTCCATTGCTGCTGCCTCCACCGCCACCCTGCGCCATGTGCCTCTGTCGTCTGCTCACGCTGCTGACGGCTTCCGCTTTTTTAACCGAGGCCTGTGTTTGGCTTCCGAATACTGCTGCATCCACCGCCACCCTGCGCCATGTGTCTCTGTCGTCTGCTCACGCTGCTGACGGCTTCCGCTTTTTAACCTAGGCCTGTGTATGGCTTCAGAATAATGCTGCCTCCACCGCCACCCTGCGCCATGTGCCTCTGTCGTCTGCTCACGCTGCTGCCAGGTCCATACTGATTCATGGCCCCCTGTACCGGCTCCTCATGAACGTGGTTCAGCGGGTTTGCATCATTTAACGGCAAATCGTTGACAAACGCTGGAACGTTCAGCGTTGTGCGCATTAAGCCAGACACCAAAGGGCAGCACAGACCTGTTATTACTCGCTCAAGCATGGCTGAACAAAACCAGTCTCTACCACAAATTGGACCCAGACCTGCCCAGGGTCTCGTAAGTAGATTGCACGGAGGAGTAGAGTTCGTTATTGGAATTAACTGTGAGGGACTTTTAAACCTAGGCCTGTGTATGGCCTTCAATTGAAGCTGCTTCTGCTCCGCCACTCTGCCATTGGACTCTTGATAGTCGTCTCCCCACGCTGCTGCTGGGGGGACTTTTTAACATAGGCCTCTGTATGGCCTTAAATTTTAGTTGCTTACGCTCCGCCACTCTGCCATGGGCCCCTGTACCGCCTCGTCATGCTGCTGCCAGGCCCGTAATCTGCCATGGGCCCCCTTACTGACTCCTCATGCTGCTGCCAGGCCCGTAATCTGTCATGGGCCCCTGTACCGCCTCCTCATGCTGCTGCCAGGTCCAGAGTGTGTCATGGGTCCCTGTACGGCCTCCCATTGCTGCTGTCTCCATCGCCACACTCTGCCATGTGCCACTTTCAGGTCTCCTCACACTGCTGGTGGGTTCCATTTTGTCATAGGGTGCTGTATGGCCTCCCATTGCTGCTGCCTCCACCACCACACTGTGGCTCCACACTCTGGTTTTGGCCCCGTGACTGCCCAAATGAGTGAAGTGTGCGGTGATTCTAAGATCGACGGCACTCATCTGCATGTCATACTGACTGACAGTATTATTTCTCTTCCCCAGCAGACTCCAAGGGCATTTAAATTAAAGGTACAGTGTTCTGCACTAATATAAAGGCTCTCTGAAGCCTAAAAACACCCTTTTTATAAGTTAAATTTGCAGCGAATATATTCGGCTCGAAGCGAATTTATTCCGCGAATTCGGCGAATCAGCCGAACCGAATTTTTGAATAATTCGCTCATCTCTAATTATTTCAGTTAAAGGGATATTAAACCAAAAACCAAACATAAAATACAGGTGAAACTCGAAAAATTTGAATATCGTGCAAAAGTTCATTTATTTCAGTAATGCAACTTAAAAGGTGAAACTAATATATGTGATAGACTCATTACATGCAAAGCAAGATAGTTTAAGCCGTGATTTGTCATAATTGTGATGATTATGGCTTACAGTTCATGAAAACCCCAAATCCAAAATCTCAGAAAATTAGAATATTGTGAAAAGGGTGCAATATTCTAGGCTCACCTGTATATAGCAGCTTACTAATCATTAGATGAATAAGCTTTTTCCTCTTTTTTTAACCTGGCGATCTGGCCAGTAACACACCTCCTTTATTAGAGTGCCCCCAGTCTCTATGAAGGAGCAGAGGGGGCACTCTAATAAAGGAGGTGTGTTACTGGCCAGATCACCAGGTAAAAAGATAAGTCTGGTGGGGGAAGGGAGTGCTATATGCACTAACAGATTTAAATACACTAACACTTTATAAGCAGTTACAGCAAACTTTGTTTTTCTTTTGGGATAAAGGTTTTAAATACTTATAAAATAAAGCTGATCATTGTAAGCACCTCTTGCAGTGGTAAATGGTTTGACTCATCACTGTAACTGATAAATTCTGCTGGAGCGATTGTTCTATGAAAATAGAAGAAAGAAAGCCCAACAAAGAAAATGAATGCAGCCATCACATTCAGGGAATGGTAAGCTGCAATATACAGTACGTAATAATGTTTGCTTTTGGACTTAATACCACTTTGAGTTTATATAGACCCTGGAATAAATACTTTCTGTTGCAAACATGTAGAGAACATTGGCAGTAGGTGAACATTAAAGTCCATTTTCACTTTTGCACTCAAATTTGAGAAGCACTTACTATATGTTTGTTATGTGTTCCCATTCACGTAGCATATGTAAAATATATATATTTGTAATATTTCTTACTTTACTAGTTATTTCATTGGGGCAGGTTTATTCACAGCACTGCAAGCTGTTCTGATTCATTTCAAAGTGCAGTTAGAGAGACAAACTGAGGTACTGCTTAAATTGTAAGGTTCTTGAAGGCAGGGACTGATGTGAATGTGCAAATTATATGTAAAGAGCTGCGTAAACTGTCAGGTCTATATAAATACATATAATAAATAAAATGTGCCTTAATATACATGTACCACCCAAGCCTCGAGATATTTAACCCTTTATTAGGACAGACGGTGTTCATATGTTTACAACTGAATTAAAAAAAACACACATTTGTAAAAAATGTGAAAAAACTTAAAAATTTTTGTTCAGATTGCTATTTTGAGAACATTTAACAGGTGGAGAGGGGGCATTGTATTGACGCCTCACTGCCTATTTTAATCTTTTAAATACCGCGTTGCAATCGCATGCGTTGTGCACGGTTGTGGGGCAGTTACAGCGTGGTCCCATTCACCAGTGTGACAGGGGGTGTAATTCGTGGCATGGCATGTGTAAACCCCCAGCCACTACCTTCCCAGTTAAAGTGGGAGTGGTTGAGGGGAGGAAAAATGTGGCTCAGCTGTTGGGTTTTACAGCCCCCAACAGCAGGTTTACACACTTCCCACACCAGTGCAGCCAGTCCCAGTGTCCCTAAACACTGCGACACCAGTCCCAGTATCACCATAAAGCCTCGTTCACAGGGGCATATCAATGCAAACTCTGTGTGAGGGCCATGTTTACCCACCAGGGGATGCACAAGTGTTCCGTGCATCCATATGCAGGCAGTCCCATCAATTTCTATTGGGACGCAGCAGCTGCATGCACACAGCTGCTTCTCCAAATCTGACATGTGGGTACAATGCCCCAAACACAGATAGTGTGATTACCATCACACTAGTCACAGTGTTGCCATACCAGTGTAGCCAGCAACACTGTTTCCTGATTGCCGCTACAACAATGACAATGTCACCAGACCAGTGTAGAAAGCAACAATGTTCCTGTTCACTAGCAACACCAGTGCCACTGTTACCAGAGCCAGTGCAGCCATCAACAGTGTCCCTGATCTCTGCCCCATTAGTACAGTGTCACCCGAGCCAGAGCAGCCAGCTTGTCTGAACACCAGTGCGCTGTTTATTTACCACGTCTCTGCCTGCCTTCTGGACCAATCTGTTGCCTGTTTATTGACCATGTCTCTTCCTGCTGCCTGAACTGACCCATCTGCACATCCCACTGACTATGTTGCTGAGAGACTCCAATACCAACCATTCCCTGTGGACAACTGTACTACTGGAACCACATGAACTCTGTTGTTCACCCTGTGTTCAGCCTCCTCTACCTCCTGGCCAGTGAACATGGCATTCCTAGGGGCAGCCTTGTAACAGTAGGTTAGGCTTGCTTGGCATAGGAATGGGGACTGACTGGTATAGGCGACTCTACATTAAGCTATGTTCCCTGAGCACTAGCACAGAGGTAACCATTACAGTACACTGTATTTGATACAATTGGTTGTGTCAGGGACCATTGCGACGCATGGGTCTACACATGCGTAGGCATCTGTCAAGATGTACAGGTAGCAGGGCACTAGGACCCAGGCGCATCCATTGTCTTGACAGTACTAGGCAGGCACTGGGACCTAGGCGGCGACGGTCAGGTGCAGGGCGGGCTACTTAAGCCAGCCCTGCACAGATGCTTGTTGCCGAATGGTCTTTTGTATCCTGTTACCTGTGTGTGAGTACTTCTGATTTGGATTGTCTGACCTTGTTGCCTTCTCCTGTCCTGACCCCTTGGCTTGCCTGACTCTGCTCCTGGATGTTCCCTTATAGATCTGATCTTTTGGTATTGACCCTGCGTGTGACCCGACTATCCTTTGCATATCGTCTTGTACCTCACCGATCCGCTAGTTACCGACCCAGCTTGTTTGACTCTGACTTTGCTCATCCGTCCATCCATCCCTCAGGGATCCCTGGGCTCCCTCACATCAGACTCTTAACCCGCTGGAGCCCTTGGCAAACTCCTCTACCTCTGGTAGAGATACCTAGCAGCTGTGACCTGGTCCCGGAGCGCTCCAAGTCCATCCCCACCATCAGGGGCCCTGGTGAACAAGTGCTCCGGTACTTAGACTCCGCACTCTGGGGAGGCTCTATCAGGGGACTGATAGAGGTACTGTCAGGTGGTCCGTTACAGGTTGATCTTTGTGATACACAATATGTAATGTCCTGCATATAATCAGTCAGTACATACATTGAAAAGGTCTCACACATGTGGCATCCCCATACTTGGGAGGAGTAGCAGAATGTGTTTTGGGGTGTATTTTTAAGTATTTCTATTACCAGTATTTTGTGAAAAATATCTTATAAAACTGACAACTTTGTGAAAAAATTAATTTTAATTTTCTTTGTACATTTTCCAAAACTTGTGGCAAAAAAAAGTCAAAAGACTTCACATAACTAAGCATGCTTTCTATAAAATATCTTGGGGGGGTTATGCTCCAAAATGTGGTTATTTTGTGGGTGTTTCTACTGCCCTGGCACTACAGAGCCTTCAAAAAAAATGTAAAAGGTCAGGAAATTGGATGCATAATTTTTGCCCCTAGAAAAACTTAAGGCACTCCTTGGATTTAGAGCCTCTTTATGAGGTTAGGCTGCAAAAAGGTCTCACGTGCTGTTTTTTTACCCAGGAGGAGGAGTAGAATGTATTTTGAGGTGTAATGTTAAGTATGCTTATGCTGTGTGTTAGAAATATTGTATTAATTAAAAACTTTGCTTTAAAAAAATACATTTTCATTTTCTTTCTGCATTTTCCAAAAACATGTAGCAAAAATGACTTTCAAAAGACTCATTATGCTTTTTAGAAAATACCTTGGGGTATTTGCTTTCCAAAATGTGGTAATTTGTAGGTGTTTCCACTGTCCATGTGCATTAAGGCCTCTAAACATGTAATGGGTAGTCAGGAAATTACATACATAGTTTATGCCCCTAGAAAACCTGTAGGTACTCCTTGGATTTTGGCTATGCTGTGTGCGAGAAATAACATTAAATAACATTAAAATGACAACTTTGTGAAAAATAAATGTTATTTCTTAATTTTCCAAGAAATGGTGGCAAAAAACTACAACTTAAAAAAAACGCACCAGGCTTCTTACTAAAATTCCTTCGAATGTCTACTTTTCAAAGAGGGGACATTTTGAGGGTATTTATACTGTCCTGGTATTTTAGGGTCTCAAGAAATGAGATTGGCGGTCAGAATATCAAAATTGATCAATTTTTAAATATTTATACCATAGTTTATAGACTATAAAACTTTCATGCAGACTAACAAATGTTCACTGATTTTGGGTTTGGAACAACAAGAAGACGATTTTGCCTGCCAAAAACCCAATTTGTTTTTTTTTGGGGGGGGGGGGGGGCAAACTCTGTGGTTGCTGTTCAGTTTCTAGTGCTCCATACACACTATCCGTTTTTTTTTTTTTTCATTCAACCCAGCAGGCTGAACAAAAAAAACTGACAGCTGTACTAACATAAGCAGTGTTAGTACAGCGATCTCCCCCACTGTGCTATTGTGTTCTGACAGGGGGACTGCCCCCCCCCCCCCCACCAGAACACATTGGTCAGCGCTGTCAGCCATTGTCTGATTGGAAGCCAAACTGTAGACCTTTTTCAGTCATGCTCCTTTGACAGAAGCTGGATGAACGTCCGAT